TCTAACTTGTAAAATTGACCCTGTGCATTTTAAAAAGTCATGGCATCAACAAAGAAGCGAAACTTTCCCCACAGTAGCACAGATTACAAATATACACCCACCACTCATGCCCACAACACCTGGAATATTATCCAGAGATTCAGAAATCCTTTGCTGTACTCTGATTTGTGCCTTCTTACATGTAATTTGCTTTGTTTCACACTGATCCAGACCTAAGTCAAGGGCAGAAGTGTAGCAATACACAGCTCTCTCTACACTTGTTTTTGAACATGTGTTTTCAGTGTTCCACAGGAAATGCCACTGGTGGCATCAGCTACTGATGGAGAGGTAATTGAGATGAACTAGAACTAATGTGACAAGCACCTAGATTCATTCTCCTTTTAAAAAAGATATAAAACTATAAAACAAAATCTCTGCTTTTAAAAATGGAAGGAACGCCTTAATATTCTACAGCAACTGTTTCAAGAATCCTCATCAAAACCTGAATTAATGCTTTTTTATTGTGGTTTAATCTCCCACCTACTAAAAGAATAAATATGTGTCTCAGTAATTTTGCTATGATTATTTCTTTTTCAAATGTAATCACGCTAAAAAGAGAATTGAAATAAGGGAAAATATTTTTTCAATGTGACATTAAGGGCATGAGAAACAATGGCAACAAAGTTTTCAATTAAAAACTATATTTATCTTTAGAATATGATATGAGCTTCACCGTCTATTATTATTACAAAAAGATATTTTCTAAAGAGAAATAGTTTTCCAGCCTCACAATCTGCATTCATCAAGGCATGCATCTACGTGACAGGTAGCACTAATTTTTCATTAATGTCAGTTTATGAACTCTACTGTAATTTGAACGTGTTCTTTCATAGTGCTAATCACTATGGCTTACAAAAACCTTCCGGCATGAGGTAAATGACACGATTAACATTTATACAATTCAGCTTGGTATTTCTTCCCATGACATGAAATGCGTGTGCACTGTCATTGTCATTTGTTTTTTTCATTATGTATGGCCTTTTTATGGAACTAGGTGATTTTCCATAATGTGAAAACAATGTGGTTATCTGCATACAACTTAAGACAATGCAAACATGCCAGTTGGCTGAAAGTTCCTACAAGAAAAAACTGGGATTTTCTGTTTTTATTTCTTATGACTTTGACTCATTTTCACTATTTAAATTTAAATTTATATGGTGTGATCAGTATTTAATGGGGGTCTGTAAGAAAGAAGACAGAAGACAGACTCTTTAGCAGGGTCTGTTGTGACAGAACAAGGGGAATGGCTTCAAACTAAAAGAGGAAAGATTTTGATAGGTCATAAGGAAGAAGTTTTTTACAATAGGGTAGAGAGGCTCTCGATCAGTTGCCCGGAGAGGTAGTGGATGCCCCAGCTCTGGACACATTCAGGGCCAGGCTGGACCAGACCGTGGGCAACCTGATCTAGCTGTAGGTGTCCTTGTTCATTGCAGGGGAGTTAAACTAGATGACCTTTAACAGTCCCTTCCAGCTCAAATGATTCTATGATTTTATGATTCTGTGACCTGTGAGAACAAAAGGAGATAAATACCTCAGAGAAGAGAGCTAAACATGCTGTCCTGGCACACCTAGACCACATGAGAACATACAGTGACAGCTTTTAGTAGTTCATGTCTTTATTTATTGAGACAGTAACTGCTTCCAATTATCACTAAACACCGTTACATCTAATGAGCTGTGGAGAAGTGCTAGCCCAATCACGCAGAACTAATGGGACAGGGGAGGATATGTGGTCAACATGGGCTTCAAAGCAACTGTGTGCATCTTGGCAAGGACCTGCTGGAGTCTGCCTGACTCTGGCATGGTTCTCCAGCAGCACTTTCTATGCTCTTTGCATAGAAAGCTCTGTGAGCTATGCTGCTATCTTTCAAGAATTATAAATGGACTGTGAGGTGTGTTGTAGCTCATAACAGGTATTAATTTCAACACAGGGTTTTAAACCCACTTTTGGGAAAGAGGAGCCCTGAGCTCCAGTGTCCCCAAGCTGTGGCTCACATCAGTTTCTCCTCACTGTGGGCTCTTTCACTGTGCTCAGAACTTGCTGCCTGCCGCCAAAATGATGCTAATGTGTGGAGCTCCCTCTGTAACTCAGGGTAATTTTCTCCATACCCATCTTTGCTAAGCAGCCACATCCAATTTCTTCAGTGGACCCCTAGATAAGATGCACAGCAAGTCTCTTCTCAGCCAAGTGATGCTCGTAAAAGCTGGCATTATTACCATAGATAACACTAAATCACATGTAAAAGACCCAAGCACTAACTACTAAAGCAATGACACCATGAAAATAAGGTGGAAAGAAAAATATGAGAATCGATAAGAGGGAAAAGAGATGCCCTTGGTGAATATCGGAAAGGAGAGAAATCAAAGAGAAAGTACAAACAGTGAAATCTAGGGTTGCAAACATGGTAAAAAACAAACAAACAAAAAAAATGAGGATATATTCAATGTGGTCCCTATTGAGAGGCATAAAACTAAATACCCTGCTTGCTTTGTGAGCAAGAAAACAGCTAGAATGTACATGGTACAAGACGTGTAAAACCTTCCATCTTTCAAAAGACAAAGCATGTCTGGAATGTGTGGAAACTTCCATAATGACAAAATGTAGACTGGTAGACTGGAGGTGAAGCACTCAGAAAGATCCCAAATGTTAAAAAGGTGAATTTAGGATTTTAATTAAAATCATCATGTATTACACCTGGTGAGGAGACATAGCAGCGAGAGCTCCCACCAGCAAGATAGGAAGGTGAGGGACATCACTCTGCTCCATGAATGCAACACTTTCTCTATTTAAAGGAGCAAATCAAACCCAAGAAAAGCACCCTAAACACTCTGCCTCTGCACAACCATTGGCTAGCTGTCAGTGAACAATTCTACCTGTGTTCAGCAGGTAGCAATAGCAGAATTTTGGTGTCCCAAATATCCACTGCTCTGGTACATGAAATAGCTGCTATTAGAGCAACGTGCATATATTTTTAATCAAACTGAACTTCTTTTCCTTTGTTTTCTACATTCAGTGTGCTTGGAGCTTCAAGCCAGACCTGCAAACTCAGTTCAAATTTTCTTTAAACAGTTTTAGCCGTTACTTAGTAAAGACTTACAGTCCACTATTTCAACTCCTGGAATTACACCGACTACTCTGAAGTAAGTTCTTTGATCGAGGTTGCCAGAAGACCAGCACGGCCAAGAGAAATAAAATACAAAGTATGTAATACACCCAATGCAAGTCTATTTTGGTTATTGCCAAACACACTGTGTCACAAAGCACATTTTTCCTCTCACATCACCTAACTTTATTTCCTGCTAAGATATATATGAACAGGCAACATAAACTTCTTTGAATGGATCTTTCTCCATCTGTGACCCAAAAACATATAAATTATATCAAGCGTTATGCAACAGTGTTCATTTTCTTCTATCAACAAACTGTAAATCGTAATCTCCATGATCTCTACTGATGCACTGCCATAAAACAGACTCTCTACACAATGGTTTTTGATTCTGGCATACACTTTGCAGACATTAGTAATGTAAGGACTGCAAGTATTTCAGCATATATAATCTAGTTCAAAAATGTCATTCAAATCAAGCTATTCTTATAATAATTGATTTACCTTGAGATGCTCAGGAGCAAATAGTTTCTTCTGCCTATGGCATTAACTGTCATTTATGAAAATCTGGACAACTCTTCTTCGTCAGGTTCCCACAGCTGGAATTTTGGTTTAAGCCCTCAAAACGCTGGCCATGGAGACACACATGACTCTCTCCAGAGAGGTAGCTCTCTGAACAATTTTCTTCATGTTTTATGGACTACCACCCCTGACCTTTGCCTACTCCAAAGGTGTTTTGCTCCTAGGGAACCAAGAGAGAACGATGTCCCAGGCCAGAGCACTACCAAGCCCTTTCATATAATCATAGAAAGGAAGGAACTATTAAGATCATTTAGTTCCAACCTTCTTGCGATAGGCAAGGACATCTCCCTCTAGACCAGGTTGCTCAGAGCCCAGCCTGCAGCCTCAGGCTGCTTCATCCAGCCTGGCCTTGAATGCTTCCAGGGAATAATCTGCATGTTAGAGTGACAAGCTTGCAAAAACCTTCTAGAAAGGTCACACAGCACACACAAATGTTAGGTGCATAATTCATACACTGATAACACTTTGTCTTCCCTTTTCTACCTGTATTACAAATAAAATAAAATGCCTTGTTTCAAATTTTACATCACTTCTCCCTCTACAGCACAACCAGAATGGAATACTGTGTAAACAAGAGTTCTGAACATGCAAATATGATTTATTCTAACAAAATTAGACATAACTGTAACATCATACTGATGCTAAGACAGGAATCTTTATCTGGCATTCTAAATAACATAAATTCTAGAATTTTATTCTAAATAAAAAGTGGGACTTTTAAGAAATAATTAACAGCAGCTCCACACATTTTTTTGTATTTGCAGGATAAATTCCTTTGGAAGTCCACAAATTTTTAATAATCACTGGGAACTCCTAGGTATAGAAACATATAAAATGTTAACCGACAATAATAAATTATATTGGCATATGTTTACAGTATTTAAAGCATTTTAAAATGGGCAAAAAAATATTTTTTTCAATTTACAGATGTATATAAATATGAATTGCATTCATTCACAGCATACTTTAATGACCGTTCTTACCACATTTTATCAAGATATGCTTTCTCATACAACATCTCTTGTGCATTGTGTCTTCAGAAAGAGACACTACTGAATTTTTGCTGGCACAAAAACAACCATTACTCTCAAGCTTGTGGAAAAGTGGCTTCATTCCCAATTCTAATTTCAGAGTGGAACTGATTATGAACCCATATCCTATAGAGAGCCAATAAAAACACAAATAGGAAAAAAAGTTTTTATAAAGAACTTTATAATAATATTTTTAATAGAATTTTGCTGACATTTTGCAGTTTTGCTAGAATGTTTACAACTATACAAATCTTGGAAACCTAAAAGGGTTGCAGACTTAAACTTCTTTTCTGCTCATAAGAGATCTGGCATTTACATAAGTTTTTCAGACACTGTTTTTACCCTTCAAAAATCATCAGTATCTAGGAAATAATTCTTGATAAAACAACGTATGCTCTTTCATTGATTTGTTTTCTTCAGTATGCCTAAAATGCTGCTAGCCAGCTTGTTAAAACGCCAAAACTCTGTTACAAAAATGATGAGGGAAGTATATGCAGGATAAAAAAGGAATGCCAGGCATTTGTTCTTACTTGCTTGCTTTTCATCTTCATTTCAGACAGATAATAATGTTGTTTCTATATTCAGAGAAAAACGCACAAAAGCATACCCTTTTCAGTCCTCTCCAGGACCAGCCAGCCCCATCAACATCATGATAAAAATGGCACTTCAGTTTCCACATAACTTTAGTTTGTAACCTGTCTGCCTGTAACTTTTTCCCATCCTGTCAATTTGTGACAAGATGGAGGGTTTTTTGTGTGCCAGAAACAGATATCGTCTAACTCATTTGACAACATTTTTAGCCTGAGTGGTAACATTCAAAAAGGAGCTCAGAAGAGGAATGGGCCTTATCATATGGCCTGTCTCCACAGGATTCAGCACATGGTGATGTGACTGAATTCAAACACAAAGGGCACAGGGTGGGATGAAGCAAATGTACTGCTGTATTTCCAACTCCAGGTATGTGAATTATCTCAGCCAAGACTTAGATTTAATTTGCCCTTGAAGTTTAGAATTGAATTTGTTTATACACTTAATCTGCTGTATGCTCATATACTTTCAATCTTTCCATTTCTGCTAATCAGCCAGAGTGTGTTCCTAACACTGAGTTCTGTGGCATTCGGTCGGTCTGGATTATTGTTATGTGCCTTTTATTTGACACAACTGGCTTTAATTTAACCTACTGTTTTTGTAGGTATTTTTGTATTGCTGCCACTAGTTTTGTAGACACAAGCTTTAGTTTTGAGCTCTCCCCACAGTTTGAGCTCGAGCAAACAAAAACAACAAAACAAAAATGAGAAAAAATGCATTTCTCAGCATTACAAATCAGCAATAGAAAATAAGCATTTAAAAACATCATTTTCCTTAAAGCCATGAAATAAAAACAAAAAAAAAAATCAAAGCCGTCTGGGTTGGAACCTTCTTTTGCCGCCAATATCTGATTTCCTTTGCCAGTGTTCTCTGATTGCAAATGGTACCACAAGGACTAACAACAATGTGCACAATCTTGCTGAAAATTTAACTGAGAGATGCTACTACCTCTTACTCTGATGAAGCGGACTACTGCACCTTCTGTGTTTTCTCCATAGTCTCCATATAGTCTCAAGTATTTTTCCAATCTAAGTTAAGGTACTTCCCACAGTAGGGTTGTTTCAACTCCCTAAGGAGTAAGGGAGTTTCTGGGAGCTTTTGGAAGTGCAAAGCCCCTTCCCTCTTACATCCACCCCATAAATCTGGCTGTGTCCAAGCTGTGCCCTGTACTCTACTTTCCTGGCATCCTCTCTGTTTGTTCACTCTTTGGAGCCCAGCGGGCACCCAGTTTATTTATTTTCTTTGGATGACACTTCTAAATGTTGGCAACTCTGTGCAAAGCGCTATCATTGCTTAACATCAACACCTCTCCAAGCTGGTAAAGGGAAAAGGGTGTGATTTCTCATCTTCATATTCATCACCCTTTTTTTGTCCAGAGGGATTAAGCAGCAAGCAGATGGGTGGGAGTATCTAATGCTTTACCTTTCCAGGAAAGCTCTCATACAACAGGAATGCTGTTGTCATTCATGGTGGAAAGACCTGAAGCGAAACCTAAACATCATGCCAACATTAATATGTTCTGATTTGCATTTCATTTCAGGTAATTTTTGATACAGAGGACATGTCTTTTCCTTGTCTTCACATGGACAAACCAAGCACATTCCCAAGAAATGCCATGTCGACTTGAACTGTTACTGTATGCTCCTGGGAATGCAGTCAGTTGAGTTCTCTTGAGTAACAGATGAGCTAGCAATGAGATTTTAGCTGGATTCTTATGGAAAAAAGGCTTATGCAACCAGGCTGCTTGTGTGCATGCTTGTCTGCTCCAGCCTCAACGCAAACCAGCTTTCAACATGGCAGAGGATTTCAATCAGACTTCATAGAGGATCGAATACACAAAAATGTTACTTTCTCACATGTTTAATGAAAACGGGTGAACTGACAGATGAAAGAAACTATGTGCAAATCTGTGCTGCAGAAAAGGCACAGCACGCAACGTGAGAACATGGAGAGGATAGAAACCTTCTGGATGCCAACGCTGAAGGAAAAAGCTTCAGACTGAGCTCTGACCATCTTAAGAAACCAAAGCAGGAAATGAATCCAGAAATGCAAGTCCAAGGTTTTTTTCCGCTGCTCAGTGAGTTACTTGATAATTAAAATCACACCAATTCTCCACTCACACAGTAGTCCTGCATTTTTTTAATTGCTAACTTTATAAGCAAGGAACAGGACTTGGAGAACAGGGTAACCAATATCCCTTTGGAGTCAGCCAACGAATAGCAAGCTGTCAGGCTGTCAAATACCCTTGCAAAATGTGAGGCAACAACCGCCTTAAAATTGCAGTAAACAGTGCAGCAGAAACACCTGCCAGCCGCTAAGCGGGCTCACCACAATGCCACTTCCTGCCAAGCTGGGCAGCAGGGCCTTGTTTTGCATTTGCCTGGCACTTCCAAGAACTCCAGGGGCCCCAGCAACCAATTCCAACTGCATTTCAATACATTCTGCATGTTTTGCATTTTATAAAAATTAACCCACACAGTTCCTGTAGTAATCTCAAATCACTGATGGTGATATCCAGCACTGGCTCCCAACCTCAACTTTAAAAAAACAGGCATCCTAAAGTTGTCAGCTGTGCCTCACTGCCCCCTCTCACACAGAGAGTGTGGACCCTCAGGAGTTCTCAGGAGTGAGAAGAATGACATCCCAGAGTTCAGCAATTTTGTATTCACGGTGAAATTTTGGGGAGCAGGTGTCAAGGAGCTCCAGGCTGCTCCATAGAGAACTTTCCCCAGAGACTAAATGTAGAAACTATGGAAATGGTCTGGGTCACGGTGTTTCCAGCGCGTTGCATATTTTCACATCCATCAAAACAAGTTTATTTAAAGTACAACTATTCAAGACCTGGAATACGCACAAAAAAATTCCCACAGAAATTAAGGAAAGTAAAAATTCCAAATATTATTCAACTATGATTTTAATTAATGGAAATATCAAGAGCAGAATCTTTCCTAAATTATGTGACTTCAAAAAAACCTACGGAAACATGGATCTCCAAACTTCCAGCCACCGAACTTGTGGGTGCCTGCTCAGCAGGTTTCTCTTCAGCCTGCCTGCTGCTCAATCCACAGTAGAGAAGTTTACTATAGACACACAAATGGAAAAAGCCAGAAGCACGGGACCTGAGCAAGAAGGTGGACAACAGAACAGGCAGGTGGGCAGAAGCATGAAGCAAAGCAGTATGGAGATGGCAGCTGTCTGATCCCCTGCGCCTATAATGCAGCAGGACCAATAGGTTTCTGTGGCACATCCTTGTGGTCCTCCTAATGAAATGACCCATAATTGAGATTATTAAGTTTGTGATAACAAAAGTTGCCAAACATTATTTTCCCAGAACTCAAAACTGAATGATGCTTGATTGGTATTTCAAAACATAACATTAAAAAAATAATAAATCACCAAATCTACAGCTTTTAGGTTATTTTCTTGATCCAAGAAATACACGCTACAGCAGGACCTGGCAGTAAAAACATAAGAACATTTAAGGGCACATTTTTGTATGAATATTTTTTATGTCAAAAGCATAACCTCAAAAAACTCCTTCATGTTTAAAAATGTGACTGCTTTAAATGAAAAGTTAGTGCTTGCTGCGCTGGCTTCTCAAGCTGTTATTTTATGCCTTAAGCCAAATTTAAAAGAAGCAAACCCAGAGTGTAACATCAGCTTGTCTTCACTTACAGCCTTGTTTCATTTGCATTCTTTCAACAAGGAGCTGTGAAACATTAAGCAACCTGAATAATATTTCTGACTTGTAACAGCAACTTGGACGTGAATTATCCTCTGATTACTCCCATTACAACAAGGCTTCTTTATCTTAAAAGTATTCTGAGTGCAGATAAAATTAAATGAGTTAAAAGTACTACCATTAAACACAAAAATACTACTACACTCACTCATCATTTGTAAGTCCAAACATATTGTATATTTACGTAAAGTCCATAGATACTGTAATCAGTAGCTGGACCATGTGTTTTTCATTAGAAGTCTTTAAGATAAAGCACCAAGGTAGAAAAATTATAATTAAATATTGATATAGAATTACATATGAAGGGAATCATCCACTTTTTTTTTTTTCTTTTTCTTTTTACTGTGTGCTAGAGAATTGAGTACACTTCTAAAACATTATTTAGGTACACAAAGCTTCAGGCAGAAGCACACAAATAACATATGGAGGAATGAGATCCTGCTGGGATTTCTGCACCAACAGTGGGATTGAAGGGGGAGCCCGGACGAGCCAGCACAATGGCAGCTGGCTTGCTAAAAGTTTGCAAATATTGATCGTTCCATAGTATAGAGCTACGTTTGCAGTAATAAGGGATAAGACACGTGCCTTGATAACAGAGAAAGCCAGTCCCCTTGATGTACACTGCAAGCCACGTCGTGTGCTGCAGCCAGCCGGGACACCGGTTATTAGGCTCTGCTGTAGGACACAGTAGCATGATCCTTGGCTCCCTTACAACAAGGGCATTGGGAAACACTAGAATGCAAACTGAAAGTATTACTAAGAACATAGAAGTCTGAGTCTAAAAGAGGGTGAAATGTATGCTTACATACACAGTTCCCATGGTTTTAAATCACAGTGCTCTTGCTCACCAAGTTTCAGAAGCCACCCCCCGTTCATCAACCTTTTTGCATTTCTGGAGAGCTGAAGGCAGACAATGAAAGGTTAAAGCTAGGAGTCTGCCTGAAAAATTCTTTAACAGCTTCTGAAGTTTTAAAGCAGCATTCATCAGTATTTCTACTCACTCTCCACCTTTCAGATTCTCAGCTCTATTTTGTACTTTTAATACTGAACTATGCTCCTCAGAGCACCATCCAGACCAAAGAAATCTTTCTGTTAGAGTATCAACCTTCCTTTGTGAATGCATGAAAAACACAGTAAGAACTCTCTAGTAGGAGACCCTCTGCTCTTCTGCACATTGGTCATCTGCAAAGAGAAGAGGGGAAGTAAAAAAGGGAAGTTGGATGGAGAATGAAGTTGGATGGAGAATAAAGATGGCTGGGAAATTTTGGCAAAACTTTCTCCTGAAAGAGAGATTCAAAAGCATCAAAAACTTTCATCAAACAGAAGTGATTGATTTTCTTCTTCCTTCACAGGAATGTTGAGGAGTCCATGAAGCCCTTTGATGATTTCAGGTGAAAAAGTCTTAGTGAAGTAAGGCTCAACACACTTTTTAAAAAGTACAAAATGGATAATGCTGAAGCACAGCATTTGTCTAAGTCATACTCTTACATTCAATTTGAGAAACAGTGGAAGCCACCTCATTGTAGCTGGGACGGAGTTTTTTAAATTCTACATTTCCACAATGCAAAATCCATTCTCTGTCACCATTGGCTAGCAATCTCCCCTTCCACAATATGTCCCAGGACACACCCCAAAGTCAGTTATAGGTATTTCTGAGTATGCCTATATGGCTTAGGAGAAGGGCAGGAAGAGGTCTCTCACACACTCTGTTTCTGAACATCAAGATTAAGCCTGGTTACAGTTTAGGGAACAGTTTATCTCTGAGAATTAAATGGATGTAGTTGCAACAGATCAGCTCCTGTCATGCTACAGCATAAACCATACACACACAACTATCAGACACAATCATACATTTCTCACTAGTCATAAAACATATTGTTTAAGTTCCACATTAAAAAAAAAAAACACAAATACCATTCTGGTGGACTGCAATAGTCCTCCATTTCTTTTGGATACCTGGGACCAAACAAACCTCATCCAGACTACATCAAGGGGTTAGTGGGCCACCATATCATGTCTAGAAGAGGCCCACAGTCAAGTACAAGGCAGGAGAGAAGCAACATGTCAGCTGTGGTGTAAGTTGATTATCCAGTGTGGAAAGGAAAAAGCATTACTTCATCTTGTGATCGGGAGCTGCTGTGTTCAACTGCATCTTTGTACAAACGTACATTTGCACATACAAATAAAACCTCTAAGTTAATTGTATGGGTGCATGCTAAGGTGGTTGCAATCAATTCACTTGGTGCTTCCACCACTGGAGAGAGTTAATTCTGGTCTGCATTCTGCACGAAGCATAACATAGCATATACATTAAACCACAGTTAAAGACACTCATACAGCACTGGCACACCTAGCCACTGTATGTCTGGTAGATCAAAAGAAAAACAACATCAGAAACGCCCATTTCAAAAGATACACAGCAAGGGATAAATACTCCCTCACGTCAGTATTATTTTAAGAAACTTACTGTGTATGATTTTCAAAATGATATCTTTATAAAAAGTAGTGGAAAGATTTCCTCCATTTTTAAAAATAAACCAAGAAACCACAGCAATTTCCTGAAATTTCAGCTTCAGCTTTACACTTCTGTTCCTTGTGGTTCCAGTGTTAATTCATTTTTCCATTCTTGATAACTAAGATGCTGTTCATACTATTCAGTGAATTTTCAGAAACACATTTACCTCTGTCATCTATTTAAGCAGACTATAAAATGTATTTTAAATTAATGAAACTTAATTACCTAGCATTCACTATTTAATACAGTTCTGTTGCATATTTATGTTAATTCTAATTTTAATTCTATGTAATTAAAATTATAACCTTAATTGTACGTAAGGTTTGGACAATGCCCTCAATAAGATACTGCAACTGTTGGTTTGCCCTGAAGTGGTCAGGCAGATGGACTACATGACCTTTGAAGTTCTCTATTCCTACTATGCTATTTCTATTACTAAAAATGAAGCAGATAAAGCAATGGTAGAAAGATAAATCTATAAATAGATACTGGTTTCTACCTTAGAAGGTTCTAAGAGTAGAGTTCTCTTAGGAAACAATATTTTCAGCACACGGAGGTGTGGGATTTTGAGCTGTGAGAATTGATGTATTTCTTATATTTCAAATAAATCAATATTATAAACTGCTCTGCTTAATTGCTTACAGGTGTATCTCAATTAAAACCCATGAGGATTTTACTGCATTATTTACACACAAGTAATTAAGCACATAATCACATTTCAAGCAGTTTAAACTCAAACTGTTCTATAGAGCCTTACACTCCTAATAAAAAGAAATATTTATTTCATATCATTTTCAGTAAGACAGTTAAATCACTTCCTTCTGCTGGGGACAGACCCAAACCCAATTGTTAGGAGCCAAAAATTATCAGCAGTGCATAATTTCTATATCCCCTAGAACACAAGCAGCTGTTTTCAGCCTTGTTTTCAGTTGGCATCTAGAGGCAGTGCCACTAATTAGCACACTTTTCTAGCAAGCTGATCATGCAAAAGAGGCTACAGAAACAAAACTCTCTTTCAAAGCAATGCCCAAGGACTGCAGAAAAGTAGCACAGAAATTTGTGGTCTTTAATAACAAGGCTGGTTCTATATAGGACACCTGAATTTCCAGGAACGTCCAAGCTGGCACATTTCATATGTATAAAAGTTGTAATTTTTAAAAAGCTGCAGGATCTCATCTTTACCAAAAAGATCATCAGAATGAGTGCAATCATAATTTGGAGTTAAATGGCTTTATTTTTTTTCCAAAGAATTTTTAATCCCTTACTTGCATTTTTGCATTGTGTGTGCCTGGAAAGTTGCATAAAGTGTGTTGCTTCAGGGCTGCACCTAATTATATTGGGCATCCAGAAATAGGTGCATCTGACTCAGAATTTCTGCATGCTTTGCCAGCCAATCAAACCATAAGACATGCAAGCTATGGTTAAATTAAGCAATAAGACACCGCAAGCTGCAAGTTGTGACTTATCAGCACACAACACACCGCAAGGAAGATCACAACAGGAAACAGTTTTAAGGTAGTAGCTGTCCTCAGCGCAGCTAAGAATATCATCATTACTGTGGCTTTGTGCACTCCGAGTCAGAGGACCTACTATGCTAACCCTGAACATCACAAGAGAGGACAAAACATAAAATTAGGGTAAGTGCGCCAAAGCTGTGATGCCTTTGATTGCCAATTATTGCCTATCACCTGTTTACATCTTTATAAATGCAAGTTTTCTCGCTTGATCATAATCATTCTCTATAGACAGAATCTTCAAGCCAGGTTGAAACCCTTTTTGACTCTGACAGGCACAGAGCTGGCATATAAACATGTAGCTACCAATTTCACTCCCACGCTTTGCCAATTAACCTTAACCTCTGCCATTAACAGGTGGGGTGCTGTACTGTACACTGGTCCTGGATATGTGAGCAACAATGACGACCCAAACAGAAACCACTCTTCTTCAGGTCTTCCCACTGAAACGTTTCCACCATGGCAAGATTTTACTTTACTCTCTTTTTCATGTTAGTATGGAGGAAAAATATGCAAATCAATTGGGCCAAAACTGGTACCAGTGACTTCCAGAGAAAGTGCATTTCATCAGGAGAATTTGAGGATATTTGTGTTCACACCACAAGAGTAGTCATTAATAACTAGCAACTTGCACAAAGTTGCCAGGCAAAACACAAAACATAATAGTAGATTAATCCCCAGATATTTTCTGCCTAGATTTTAGGAAAGCTAAAAATGAATATGACAGTAAGAGAGCAGGGCAGGGCAACTACAGAGCAATTATAGTCATTGATAACCACTGCATATGCAGACAATAATGACAGCAATTCAAGGAAAATCCTATAAGTAACCCATTCCAATACTGACAACTTTCCATTAGCAGCCGCTTTCCATAGAACCATTATATCCTTGCTAATTCAGCCATCCAACTAGCTTGTAAAGTCAGTTTCTAAACAGGGAGCAGGAAATCTTGAGGTTGAGCTGTAATTCTGAAGGAGTTATTTCAGTTGATAGCTACGTGTCAAGCAACGTAGCAATAAATTCTAAGCACTGTGGCAACTTGACATCAACTGCATTATGTGAATAAATACATTGGGTTTTTATAGATTGATATTATGAAGAACAGTCTTTCTCTATATTCATTATACAGCAAGCTGTGCTATTAAACGCTGCTTTGCGCAAAGGCTGCAAACATAATATACAATCAGCTATCAATCTAAAATATGTTTAAGAGCTATTTGAACAACTGAAGTATTTCCTATTGATTTTAGATTAGGAACGTATCCACATTCCCATTCCTGAAAAAGAACAATCATTTTCAGAAAAGAATAAAAGTGTATGTCACAAAATACGTTATTTTGTACCACATCATTTTCCAAACTCTATGGTTACTTTTGTAGCAGTATTTTAAGGACTACCTTTAAAGGAAAAGCATTTTGTCATTTACAATCTCTGTTATTCATTGCAAATGGCTAGAGCAAAGATCCAAAAATGTTGCCAAAAGCATACTGTGATCCACTGCAGCTGCATATGAGTTAGCATGTAATAGCCAAAGTCGATGCAGCACAAGCACTGTATGAGTAGCACAAGAAAACAGCAACAAAACAGTGCTGATTGATAGAAACCTGGAGGAGAACTTAAGTTATAAGTTACACAGCGCTATTAAGATAAAGGATTCTATTACTTCAGTGATATTTTGCTTGAGTAAGGGCTTCTGGATTTAGACTGGAATTAATGGCTAGTAAACTGCTTTCGGATTTGGCTTGCCATTTATACATGTTAAAGACTTCTCTATGCAGAAGTGCTAACGTTTGACTCAACAAACTGTAAGTCCTGTTCTCTGCTTTTTTAATGACGATGGAAATGCATATCAGCACTTCATATACATACATATATATATATATATATACACACACACATATATCTTTATATAATTATATACTTGAATGCATCAGAGAGTTTCCAGAAAGCCCAAAACAGCATGCTGAAACTTTAAAGGACATAAACCACTGTGATAAAAGCTGTTCTCTTTTCTTTTTTACCTCTCAACAATGTCCAAGGAGTCCTCCTGTCAGGCTGCCATTAGCAACCCCTTCAGCTCCAATCCCGTGGTTCTCTGATTGAGACTGGAGTTAATCAGAAAGCACCAAAGCAGTAAATGATCATTAGTGCCTTAGGAGAACAACCAGGTACAACCAAAAAGAAGAGGCTGGCAGAGCCTCTAAAAAGACACTCAAAGAGAAGTCAAATATCTTCACTTTGAATGCCTTTTTAGAAAACACCTGAATTTGGCTAAGAAGATACAGAAGCTTTTCTTGATATTTTCTGTTGGAGTAGGAACCTTGAGACACTCATTCACACACAATTAAAGGAATAAGCAGGTTTTGCAGTGCTAGTTTATCCCAGGATAAAAGAGCTGACAATCTGCTTTGCTTGATTTTAGGGATAATGAAAGTGCCTGAATTAACAAGGGTGAAGATTCAGGAAAGTCTGGGTTATCTTTGTATTTGCTAGGATTGTGTGAGCAGAAAGGCCACACACTTCTTGCTTTCCAGGATGTCTTCTGACATACAAAAAGGGCAAACGTGAGAGAGAACCAGAAGACACAGTGTATACATGCTGCTTAATTAATACTATGTGTTCTGTGATCCATCACAGAACTGAAGCTGCAAACATAGAGAACACAGCCTACCTGGGCACAGTGTGAATCAATTTTAAATGTCTGTCATCTCAAAGTCAGAGAGTAAAATATCCTTTCTTCACTCCTGTTTTTGAAGAATTTATACATGGTTTCGAAAGTTTGGTAGTCAGTCTCAAAAACTCATGAGACACTTTGCTGCTGTTAGCTCACCTGCAGCCTGTTATCCCTGCCATGTGCTGGAAGCCATGCTGCCATTCTGCTTGTTCTTCCATCAGGCATCCACTTCTCTACCTCAGCATCTTCAGGAAAAGCCAAGTAATGCAGGAAGAGCTTTCATTAATCACATGATACATAACTTTCACAAAATTGTTATGCAGTGAAATTCCCAGGTTATGCAACAATGCAATATCTGCCAAAACAAGCATCATTTTCAAGAAGTGATTAAAAAAAAAAAACAACACAATTTTTGAAACAGATTTACTGAAATTAGGTAAGTTACAAATGCATCTCTGTTAGTCTGCTATTAATAGCTTACAGTTGAATGAACAACCTTTTTAACACATGCTCCTGAGGTTGCCAGACAAACTAAAAGGGAACAGTTTCATTTGATTTTTTTTCCCCTTAATGAATCATGCAAAGCGTAGTTTCTGGTTTTGTTACTCATAAATGCAATTATAATAATTAACTAGCCAGATGCTTTGTACAACTTGCTATCAGATGTTAAGACGAACAACTTTTTCCCTACACAGTCTAGGAACAAAGTCCAGGCTGAAGACAGAGGTTACAGAACTGCAGCAGTGAGCACTCAGAGCATCTGCTGAGCCCAGTCCTAAGGGTGCTGCAGGAGCTGAGACATGGGGAGACTGCAAGGCAAGGCTTTATCTTCCTGCCAGAAAACAGTATGAACTAAATCCGCAGCGATTTGTTGCCGTCACCTGAACACCCTCTAGAGGTAGGCAAGGAAGCCCTCAGTTTGAAAAGAGAACAGATTCATCCTGGTAACAGCCCAACCTACCAGCAACGCATGTCTGTAACAGCTCTCCTCTGAAGTTTATTCAGTGAGCCATCGCAACAGACCAAACGCAGCAAACACCCTGTGTGCCCACAGAATGCTGCTCTGCGGCACACACCGCGCTGGGAAGGACGCCGCTTCTCTGCTGGATGCTAAATGTAGGTATTAAGAGACCAGTGGGTCTCACTAACAAACAGCCCATTTCCAAAATCAAAATACAGTGCACTTCTCCTGCCTGACTCTTCTCTAACCTAGTTCAAAATCTTTTCAACTGCTCATGTCCTCATTCATGCTCATTTTCATCTCCGTCATAACTCACAGAGATTTGCTTCTTTTCTATTCAAGACAGAGAAAAATACAATTGTACCAAGGATGACTAAATGGGAAAAACACAGTCCCAATTTTGTAAAATCTAATTTCTTAAATAATGATTGCCATTTCAGATTCAGAAATGAATCTTAATTCAGAATTGCATCTGAAATGTCACAATCTGCACTTTCTTAATAATCTGAATTTTCAGTTACTATCTATTATATTATTTATGAATAACTCCTAACGCTGATGATAAGAGCAAGCCAAAAAGAATACCATAATCTTTCCCTCGAAGGAGGTAATTTACACATGCAGGCAGGCGAAAAAATACTGGAGAGCAAAATCACACAAAGGATTTTTCAAAGAAACTTCTCTTCAACACTTACTGGTGTGATATCACACTTCAGTCTGGTATGGATACTTCAGCTCCAGTTTTCCCATTAATGAACTGCAACCATAACAACGCTCAATCTAATTTTCTTGTATTTTTAGAGGTCTTTGATATTTTATAGATGTCATTAACTCAGCTATAGTTTCAAGGAGAAATTCCCTGGACAGGAATGAGACTGCACTGTAGCAACCAAATTCCTTCCTGCAGAAAAAGCCCTTGAGAATTCTATTTCTCAGCAAGCCAAAGGGTGTTCAGAGGGATGGGAATTTCAGATGTCCCTCCACAGCTCTTCCTCAAAGTGTGCATGTAGCCATGTCAGACATGGGGCTGTACTCTTGGGACTCCATTTTGTCCCTTCCTCTCAAATCACCCATACGTGGTTGTTTCAAGGTTGTTTCAGTTTGGGTTTCACTGGTTATTCTATCTGGATAGGAAATCAAATTAATTAATATGCACCTTATTGTAAAATAGAAAAAATACTGAAAGCTACTGCTTTAAGTCTAACTGACCTGAATAACAAGCCAACAGATTCCTGTAATTATATGAGCTACCAGAACGCATGCACATACACAGACCCCCATAACACAACATTTAGCTGGGACAAGTGACCAGAAACACAACCAGGTAGTAAACAAAATGTTAATTTTGTAGAAAAATGCTACTGATTATTTCCTCTGGTGTGCACACAGGATAATACAACTCAGTAGAAAACAAAGTAAGGATGAACACCATGCTTTACCTATACGTATATGTAATAAACTGATTCACACTGGTACTTGAGCTTTCTCTCTACAGAAAGCAGAAAAGCAAAAAAATGTAAATTAAAAACATATTAATAATGTAAGATAAACACACATTTCCAACTTCACAGTAATAATGAGTCAAGTGAAGTAGATATAGATGAATTATCTCACACAATTTTCCCATCTAGGTAATGTTTCTTTCCTCTGTACGCTCCCACGAGTGCTCTCACCATGGCTCTCCCTACAAATTATCTCCAGACAGTGAAATCTCATGTGGAGGGCCCACGTATACATAATGTAACAGCTTCAACAACTTCTGGATAGGCCTTCAGCGCTCCATACAAGAACTTCAAGTGTTTATAAAGCTTCTGAAGATATAAGTCTCTACTAAGATGAGTTTCACTATCACCCCTGACTGAGATTGCTTTTACCAATGTTCAGTTTGATCATTTCCACTAACTGCAATGTAAGTACAATTAACTACTAAGAATACCACTAGAAAGTACACCTAAAAGCATTTTCAGGATGAAAATCAAAACTCCTTCTGAAGCACACTTACAATTCAGGATCACCACCTGCCTCCTCCTCACAGCCTACAAGAATCCCTCAATGCTCTGGCAAACAGATTATCAGTGGAAGCCAAATCACGAGGCTAGTCAGCAGCCAGGGTGACCTCTGAGGAAGGCTCACTTCTTTCCAGACAGCCTCTCCAAGCATCAAGTCAAATTTATTGCTTCCAAGACTAAAGGGGGAGAGAAATTGAACAATTTGAACAATTTTTGTATTATATATAAATTTACAGCACCTGAAGATGTTAGCAAAGCTGTTCTCCTTTTCTTCTAAACTCTGCTCCCTCTTCAGTCTATGGATGTATTATGAATAGGACATTTTCTTAAGGAGAGAAACATCCACAAAGAGACGAGCAATTCAGTAAATCACTGATGTGCACCTGTCCTCACTGCAACTAACCGTGGAGTGCACAGGAAGCATCCTGGAAGCTCCCCAGAAGAACCAACACTTACTTCACATTACTAATAAAAGCAGTCAGGTGAGGCCATGGGCATGAAAAGTTCTGCCTCCCAGCTGCCCTTCAGGAGAGGCTCTGACACAGCCCTGAGGAGCACCCCATAGCCGCCAATACAGCTCTTGCCCACTGCACAGCTACCAGCAGGGAGCTTGCTGCTTCCCTGCACAAGTTGCTGTACGTTCCCTGCCATCAATAAGCATCCTTTTGCAGAAAGCACCAAAGGTCAAGAACACACACTTTTGTATGGTGGTGGTTTATAAAACGCACGCACACACGCAAAAAGGACTCTACAGGAACTACTATCAGCTGCACAGAAACGAGAAAAGATGCAGAGATTTGCTTCCTCCATGTAAGTTTACAGCCCACTTCCAACCTCAGTCAGCACAACCTTCTCAGATGCAGAGAAGTGCTTTGCAAGCTTCTGAATTGGCTGTGTGATGCCCTGGCAGCAATACATCTACTCCAGAAAGGGGCCACATGGAAGGATGCAGCCCACTCACCATCCTAGCTCCTGTGCTCACACTGGCTTCACTGAGCCACCACCTGTCGTGCTCTGAGGACACAGCAGTGTCACCACCAAAAGGATGTGCTTGCTGATCCAGAACGGTCTCCTGAGAACACTGCCCTGTGTTTCCAAACTCACTGTCAAACATGAGCAGCCCCGCACCTCCACAACTCACAGAAGTACGTACAACACCATGTTTTGTCTTCATTTCCCCCAGAGTCCCTCTCAGGTAGGTCAGGATCCTCACACGATGTATATTTAGAAAAGGGCCAGCAGTAACTTTTAAGCACATTCCTGTTAACAGAGCATGGAAAAGGAAGATTTGTGCATTTGCGTTTAATGGGTACTTCTCAGATCCCATGGTTATGGATGAGCTTCAGACATACAAAGCAGTTAAATTTAATGCACTAGAAGAAGTTAGATGCTATTTCTGACTGAATGATCTCAAAAGGGGCGTGTGCTGATGCTCTCATCTGAGACCCAACATTGTTTTTCTCTCAAAGCAGAAGGATTTTACTTTCTTGGTTTTGTCACATTTGACTTGTCACCAGTATGTTGACATTTGATATAATGAAATTAAAATAATTAAAACTCTACAAGAGTTCCTGAAAGGCTTAATGTTTTCCCCTCTTTTAAGGAGGGAGCCTCAAAGCAAGGAGGTAGCCAAGATAAACAGGAATATATTGCTTAAATCAAGAAGTGAGCAGGTACAGAACTTCCTTTCTTCATTACTCCTAATCAGTTTAAGAGCATGATTCATTTGTTAAACTTCATTTGATATAAGTTGTGGAGAAAAAATTGAATTACCCACTGAAGGCACAACAGAATAATTAAAGGAAGTAGGTATTCAGTGCCTTTGAAAATCCATCTCTCCTCGAGAAAATGCTTATGTACCCATATTTGTGTCCATCTCCGTAAAGGAAAACATGCACGTTTATGCCTGAAGATCTTCTTGGATGAAGGCCAAGAGAGAAATTCAGGTACGTGTAGCTGAGGACTGTGCCCTCCTCTGAATCACCAGGCCCAACCACACATACTAACAAGTACTCCCATGTTCTCTCAAGTAGAATGCAGTGCCTAAGACTACACACTTCAGTGCCCAAAGTGATGAATGTTTTGCTGAGCTTCCTGTAACGCAATTACACTGCAACTCAGACAGCTAACAAAAGATAAATCTGCTGTTACACGGAAAATTGAACACACTTCTTGATCAAGTACAGATGAACTGTAAGACAGCCTTTGAACTTTTAATTGATATATAAAAGGAATTCTACTTTGACATAAGCATAGCAACTGCTTAATAATACTTTGCAATTGATAAAACCACACAGTTGATGAATTTTCTGCCTTAACTGAGCTGCAGTGGCAATCCCTTGGGCAATCAGTCTGCTCTCTTACAGGAAACCTGCAAATCAAACTCTCAGTAATATCTCTCAGAAAACAGAAAGGGAAGATAATACACAAGTTTTCCCCAGTTCAGCGTAGTCTACATAATACATAGACAAAAGCAAACCTCAGTATATCAGCATTAAAAATAAGAATGCATGCTCTGTTGTGTGAATGGTTTGCAAAGGGAAAGAGCAAGACTTACTTACACACAAAAACATCTGCCTTATTAGGAAGAATGCAGCAAATAACAGCAATTCTGTTTACATGTGAAAGATTTTTCATTACATAGTATATTTTTTGTGTCCTACTCCTTCTTATTTTACCTGCATGAAGGAGACCCAGTTTTCCTTCAACTGAAATCTGTGGCAAATATCATGAATTTTCATCAGACTTAAAATTTAGAGTAATAGAAATACGACCATACAAAACAGATGGACATTAGGTTTTGTCTGTGAGCTATTAAGAAACAACAAGCACTGAGTTTTCAGTGTTAGAAGTTTACATTATCTAGGAATAAATACTTTTATTTTCCCCGTGTAACTCTCTTTTTCCCCTTAAACATTAATAAAATTACAGAACCTGTTTTTCCATTCTACTAGAGCTATCAAAAAAGTTTCCCTTCATTTTCATGAGTACTGATAAATATATTAATGATGATTATTCTAATGAATAGTGAATGAATTATTAAAGATGGAATGACCTTTGGTATTCCATTTGGTTGATGCTAGAAGTTAATTACAATTATAGATTTTTTTTTTTAAACTCAGTTCTACTTTTATCTGATTCAAGAAACTTAAATCATCACAAACAACAGTATAATAGTGTAAATAGCCATTAAAAATACAGTCAAATTTGGAGGACTGGAAGCTCATCACAACTGCCCAACTATATAAAATGAAAATAAATGTCATGATAAAGTCAAATACTGCAGAAACTTGAAAACTATTAAAGAGAAAAGGTCCCTAGCTCATGAAGCCACCACCTAGAACTGTCACACAGTTTCTCACAGGCAATTAAAATCTTCCTAAAATCTTCCTGGCAGTCTCTAAAGCAACTACTCCTCTTAGACAGCATATACTTAATGCCACATAGCGTATTTGTAGATTACCCTGCCCCTGGCCAAAGCCTATAAATCCAAGCAATATTTCTCACCATGTGAGGCCACAGAAAGTTCATCAAGTCTTCACCTCATGCAAGATACTCAATAAACAAGACAAGAAAAGCCACTTTCAAGACTGATACAGAAAGAAAAACATATAAAAGGTAGGACTGTTACCCCCCCAACACAATACTACATGGAAGTTTATAAAATGAGGGGGCAAATTACAACCATAAAGAAATGTCTAACTCACATCAAGAGTACAGCAGGAGAAGAGATGGAGAAGACTCCACTCAGGCTGTACATTTATTTAAAACCACTGAAGGCAAGTACTAATGTATTACACGATCTGTCTCAATAACCACATACTCAACTCAATCTCATTTGAGAAATAAACATCAGGACAGAAGAAAGTCCACGTGTATAAGCTTCTACCCCAGCCCCAGCCCTGGTGACTTACTAAAAGTAAATCTTTTGTGCTCTTATTTCTAGAGAGTTGAGGAACGGTTTTGATTTTTATGGCAAAACAGTATTTCTCCTGGACCACTGCTGTTAAGTCAGAAGAGAAGGTGAGTACAAATGAGGGAACTGGAGAAATCAAGCCTGAAGAGTAAAATGTCAAACAATATTTTGGTAAGGTAAGTGAAAACCACTTCTTACGCACATCACGTGATAGACATTGCCAATCCTGAAGATCCTCACACGGGCAACAGTTCTCTCACAAAGACTGAACAAGTAGAGAAGTTATGTATTATGCAGTGCCCACAACAGAGTTCCAAGAGAGGACTGCGCTTGTGAACAGTGGTAAGAAGCCACGGGAATGAAGCCTTGCTGACCATTTTATCTTCTCTAATGATCACAGAGAAAGCACAAAGAGCTTTGAAGACTGATGTATATGTGTTGTTAGAGTACTGGTGAGATGCACTGCAAAAGAGCATACAGGAAGTGAACATAAAAACCTAGGAAGTCCAATTAAGAGAAGAGTAGAGCTCTGCATCTGGTGCAGTGAAAGAAAAAAAAAAAAAAGAAATGAACACCAACAAACAACAACATGCATCCATATGGGCACCCAGGAGCATCAGTGAAAAGGGCCTTTATTCTGCATGGCTTCACACTGAGGCCCATTTGTCCCTCCTCAAGCGAAGCAACAAGGGATGGGCAGAAACTGGGAGAAACCCAGGAGAGCAACCAAGAAGATCTGGGGCCTTGAGTACATGCCTCAAATAGAGGTTAGGGAGCTGAGCTCATTCAGTCTGACAAGGGAGTGATCTACCAGTTGACTGGTAGCTCACAGCAAGCTAAGCAACCTGCAACTCCTGGAAGAGAAACTGCAAGGATAAAGAAGTCATATCCTTCTTGACAGTGTCAGATGGTACAAAAAGGGGCACGTGAGAGGTTCAGATTAACTCTCCCCCCACCTCAAACCCTCTATTTTCAACAGAAGGGTCATGCAGGCCTGCAAATTGTTCTCCAGCAGGGCTGTGGCACCTCCACTCAACATTCAAGCTGGGCAGACAAAGATTGGTTGATATGAATGGGAAAGAGCGTCTTCCACTTGGATTGGAAAAATACCAGGATCCTCTCCAAAGAATGCTTAAAGGAGAAACGTGCACACATACAGAGTCACGGACTGCCTCAGATGGAACAAAATCCTGTGGATTTATACTGAAGTGCATCTAAGCATTCACAATCATTCATTCCCTCAAAGAAAACAGTTATTAAATTTTAGGTGGCAGTTACAGAGCTTTAAATTTTTTCTTCCTTCTACCTAATAAGACTAATGTGGCTCTGCCACACCATTTATGTTGTCAACTCTGCTAACATTGCTATTTGTTAATATCTTACTGTTATTTGTTTAATAAATAAATAAATAAATAAAAGTACACTGTTATCCTAACAATAGCAGGCCCTGGCTCTGAAATGGTACATGGAAAGATAAAAGCCATAGTTCTACCTACAGAACACCTGGAATGAATTCATTAGATGCCTGTAGATAGATAAAATAAAGTGACAAAATCATTCTTCCTGCTTTCTATTAGGCAAGTATTTAGGGTGTTGCACATTACTGTGTTTCTAACCATAGTGTGGAACCTCCCTAATTATACTCATAGCACAGTAGATGATGCAGCACTGTTAGCTCAGATGCAAAGATACTGCAGTTCAACAGCCATCTGATCACTCGTAAAAGATGTCCAGAAAGCAGATATGGAAAGCTAAAATAGCTAGTTAATTTTTTATCGTATTGCTAGATTTTTTTCAGAAATCACTTTCCAGCCTTTTTCCATCCAGAATGTGAAAGGATGAGAAGAAGATCACATGGGTCACACGTTCATCTAGCCCTGTATCTTATCTCCTCCAGCAATGACCAGTGGAGAAGGCCCACGGAAACATCAATACAGGTCATGCAAAGTGATACGCACCTGGCCCTGCAATTTGTGATTCAGAAGCTTCCAGAGCAAAAGGTGATGGCTTTGTAACGATAAGGACATTGCCGCAACAAATGTCAAAGACTTCTGCACATAATTTATTAAAAAGAAGTCAGTAAGAAACAGAAACTTCATTATTCCTGAAATAAATCCAACGTGTTAAAAACAGGAAACACATGCAACTAATTTTAACAATAAAAACAGTATCAAGGAGTAGTGTTCCTTCTGAACTTCTCATGCCACTTCTTTTTCAGAATGTTAATTAAGAATAAAAACAAATACAAAACCCTTATGACGGCTGAAGATGAAACCAGAGTAAAATCTGCAACAAATCTGGAATGCCTCTTTGATCATTCCAATGCAATGTCTACACTTTCTTATCAAACCAAACCACCAAAAATAATCTAAATAAACAACAGTAACGACAGAAAGAAATCCTACGACATCCCAAGACAACGCTTCTAAGGAGTCAGAATATTAGAGCATTCTAACACACCTCCACACGCATTAAATATGTACATATTCCACGTGTAGGTGATGTGGTGTGGAATAAATACTTCATTAGCCAGAGTTTAAGTTACTGACTCATTACTCATAAACGGTATAATTTTCTTTTCTGATTTCATAAGCGTACGTATTTTAAGTGTTCCTAAATGAGTAAGAACAGAAGACTGTGGTACTTGCAGTAAAGACTTCAACTAAGGCTGCTACGTAAAGCGCTACTGAGATACACAGAAAGGAACGTGTAATTTATGGCTCTGCAACCCAGCACAATTATACTGAAGTCAAAGGGCCACGCTCAAGAGTAAATTGTTCGCCTGGTAGCAAAAGTTTGCAGAGCAGCTGCCTCTGGCAGCATTTTGCAAGTTTGTATTTACAAATAAATTAACCAACTGGCTTCCAAATGTAGGTCACAACACTTGTCCCCCAGCTGGCTACCCAATTTTCTCTCTGCTTAGAAAAGACAAACAGAAATAAGAGCAAAGTGGGCATCATCCTCTGCTCTCAAGCATTTTACCCTGTGGAAATGAGAAATGAAAATACCATTACAGAAATGGTTTCTTATTTGCAGCCAGTGCTTAATTCTCCCCTTTTCATTTTAAAAGCAACAGGCAGGCCTAAATAAACCCACACATCTAAGACTTCAGACTGAAACTCTGAAAGCACCTTTGGTTTATTTCAGCCCTGCATATTAGCATGAGCTTCATTTTGGGAGAACACTGATCTAGATGTCGGGCTTACAGCAGAGAGCCCATTCATTCCTGGAGCAGAAATAGTGCTGAGCTATAACAGGCTCTGCAGAGTCAAGAATAGCCTAGCAGGGGTAGCAGTGGACATCTCATCCACATACGTGGTGATGTCTCGTCAATTCTGAGCTATTTCAAGACTTTTTTTTTTTTTTTTTTGCCTGACCCCATCAGGGAGTACGTTTTCCAAGATGCATTTGTATTTGATCAGGTGGATGGAAAAAGCGAGCCAGGAACAGCAACAGTATTATCTGAATATCTGGCAGTCATTAAATCAGAATTAAATAAATACATTAAAAGAATTTATAGACCGGCAATGGAGATGTCTGACAAACTGATATCCAGTGGAACTCAAAAAATGACTTAAAGACAGGAACTGTAGCATCAGGGATTCTTGAAAGTAACAGTATCACTAGGCACCTCTATATTACAGCAATGTTTCGAGCTCTCTCACACAGATTTGCTCAGATAAAAGATAGAATGTTGGCATTTTCAGCTGCCAAAATTGCCATTTGCAATTAAAAATTAAAACTGGCACCCATTCCATGCAGGCAATTATCTAAAGGCAGCTGGCGATCTTCCTTGTTTACAGTGCTGCTGTGTCATGACTTCACTCTGTTGTTTTTTTAATTTTTTTTTTTTTTTTTTGAGGTTTAAACTTGTCAACTTTATTTCCAGCTTAAACTTTATTCATTTTAATGGTTTTCGTGGCGATGTCAAAGAAAAAGATCCCAAACTGCAATTCCTGGACTTTTCCATGGCACTGCAGTGCGACAGCTCCTGGCAGCACGGCGATCCTCACGCCCTTCCCTACCCACTGCCTGTAGGACACCACCTGTAGGAACCCAAACAGCACGAGGTTCGAAACTAATGCCCTCCAAGAAGAAAGTTCAGCCTGTATCTGATTTGCACGGGCAAACGGCGGGGGCAGCTCTACCGAGCGGCCACAAATCCTCGTGCTGAAGGCGTGACAGCGCTACGCCCGTTTCTGCCGCTTAGCGCTCGCAGCACGTTGGTTCTCCCCGGTCAGTGCGGCCGCGGAGCATCTCGCGGAGCGGCACAGCGCCGTGCTCTCGGCAGAGCACCGTCCCACCTCCGAGCCTTTCCCTTCGGCGGGGTTCGGGACTGCCCACGTTGCCGGGCGAGGAGCGTTCCCTGCGTGCCACACCGCGTTCGGGTCCCCATCCCCGGGCAAAGGGCCGTGCGCCCCGAGGCACCTCCCGGGAACGGTACCGGAGCCCCGAACGGCGGACACCGCCGGGAACTGAGGAGCACCGCGGGGGAATCGGTCCGAGTTTCACAGCCGTGACGACAACAGGACGCGGTCAGCGCCGCGCTCCTCGAAACGAGGAGAAGCGAAAGGAGGAGTCATTCGCGCAGAGAAAGCGCACAAATGTCACAGAGCAGAGCAGGCAGGGCACGCGGTCTCAGAGCCGGCGCTCTCCCTCAGCGCTTCCCCGTCCCCCTAGCCGTGCGCACCTCGGGTGACCGCACACGCGTGGAGAGGCGAACGCGGCGCGGGGGTTGGGGGGAGGGTGGAGGGCTGGGGGGGAAGCAGGCGGAGTGTGGCCAACTTTGGCACCGAGCCGCTCCTCCCGCTCAGCGCTGCGGGGCCCCTCGCGGGCCGTCCCGCCGCGGGGTGCGGAGGCGCGCACACGGCCGGGCGCAGCGCGCCGGGCGGCTCTCGCGGCGCCGCAGGTGGCAGCGGCCGCCCCGCTCACGGCTCGGGGCCGTTCGGGAGCGTGGGGGGGAAGCAGCGGGACCGGGACGCGACGGACTGGGCGGGGAGGGGGGTCGGTACTCACACGAAGGCGTGGTAGACGAAGGCCCAGCCGCGGGGCCGCTCCAGCACGTTGTACAGGTAGTTCTGCAGCCGGCGGTACTTGGCGTTCCGGCGGCAGCTCGGCCCGCTGGTGTAGGACAGCGGTTTCCCCAGCAGGCTCATGCGGGCGCCGTGCTTCCCGCGGCGGCCCTCCCGCAGCCCGGCGGGGGCGGCCGCGCCGGCGGTGCCCAGCAGCAGCAGGCCGTCCCCGCGGGCCGCCGCGCTCGCCAGCGTTCTGCCCCGGCCCGATTCCACATCCTTCATGCCCGCCGCCGCCGTGCCGCTCTTCATCCAGAGCCCCGCCGCGCCGCCCTCCTCCCCGCCGCCGTGGTTGCGGGGCATGGCATCACCCCGGGCGCCGGGGCGGGCGCCGGGGCCGCGGCGGAGCAGGGCGGCCAGGCACCCCGCGGCGGCGGCCCGCAGCGAGCAGCGGGAGCCGAGGCTCTCCGGGCGGCGCCCGCGGGGCGCGGGGGCGCGGGCCACTTTGGGCGCCCGGCGAGGCGGGCCGGGCTGCGGCAGCTTCGCGGGGGC